TCTTCTCAAAGATATAATGTGGACAAAGATGCATTTTTTGTTTGTTTTTATTTTTGTTTCACCTAGGAATATGTTACTGTTTCCAACTTGTGTTTTTCTCTCTTTTGAGATGTTTTCACATCACATATCAATAGTTCAAAAATCTTTTTTCCCAATGTCTGCTATAGTAGACATTACATAGTGTTTTAAGTAATTCAGTTTTATCTGAGTAGCCCTTACTACTTCCTGGTCAATAAGAAATAATTCAGAATTTTGTCCTTGGTTAAAAATTAGCTTAACTTTTATTTAACTGTAGGTCCAGGACTCTTATTCAATATTTTTTGTACCAAATTTAACATCAGTGTTGAGATTTTGATGGTTGCTTACTTATTCCTTTAAGTACAATTTTTTTAGATGTATTTTGTTTTTATGTGTGAGAGTGTTTTGCCTGCATGTACTACGTATGTGCACCTCATGCATTCTGTTGACCACTGAAATCTGAAGCAGGTGTCACATCCTCTGGAACTGGAGTTACAGTTGGTTTTGAGCCACCATGTGGGAACTTCATCGAACCCAGGACTTTTGCAAGAGCAATAAGTTTTTCTAATTGCTGAGTGAATTCTCCAGCCCCATTTTTCATACTCTTTGACAAAACCATAGTGAAGTATTTCCCCCTCCACCTCAGCCAGCTGAGCCCCTGTTCCAATAATGCCTGCAACATTCTCATAATGTGGTATTGTGCCTTTTTTTAAATTTTATTTATTTTTATTTTGTATGCATTGATGTTTTGCCATGGGTGTCAGGTTCCCTGGAACTGGAATTACAAACAGTTATGAGCTGTCATATGGGTGCTGGGAATTGAACCCGGGTCCCCTGGAATAGCAGTCAGTGCTCTTAATCACTGAGTCATCTCTCCAGCCCCGTCACTGTGGCTCTTATAAGATGATAAATTTTTGTTTGCTTTTTGTTTTCTCAAGACAGGGTTTCTCTGTGTATCTTTGGCTGTCCTGCAACTCACTTTGTAGACCAGGCTGACCTCGAACTGAGATCTGCCTGCTTCTGACTCCCGAGTACTGAGATTAAAGGAGTACACCACCACCACCTGGCAAGATGATGAATTTTATGTCTTGTTTGGTAATGTAGCAACATTTGTGAATAGTTAGGTACTATGTCTTTGATAATGTTTATTTCACTTTGTAGAATTCTGTAATTCTTCCACAATACAAGTCAGCTCTGTTCTTGTCTGTACCTATTCCTAAGTTTAAAATATTTACTCTATCTGGCTGTTTGCTTTCTGCATAGTTGCTAAGGACCTGGAGTTAAAGTGTAAAGTGAGTCAAACTAAGGAAATTCACAAAGGAGAGATGAATTAAAACTGAAAATTAAGATAATGCAAAATTAGTAATTTTATTATGTACAGACAGTGATACTCGATAGTATAAATAACTATCTTTATTGGACATTGCAAAATCCAGTACTTCTTGGCTGCTTCTGGCTTTTTTGTTTGTTTGGTCTGGGAGTAGTTTTGTTTGCTTGGTTTTGTTTTGTCTTGTTCTTAAACTCACAACTAGAGAACATCATTAGAAGCAGGAGGATTAAGATTCTTGATAGACTGTCTCTCCTAGAAATGGCTGTATAAATAAGGCCAGAACAATGGCAATATCAATGTACTTATTAATGTGGAAGGAGAGAAGTTTTGCGGGGTCTCACCCCAAGACATAGAATTACAGGCAGCTATTGACTGCTGGAAGAAAGAGAATTAGTTCCTCCCAGAGATGAGCCCCCTTATTGATTGTCCAATGTAGAGAGGTCAGCCCAGAAACAATATGCACACAAACAGCAGAAGCTGTACGCACACACGTGTACACACACACACACACAACAATAAAGAAAAAGAAGCCATCAACTTTGGAGCGGAATCGTGGCTGGAGAGGAGGGAAGTGATGTAGTTCTATTTCAATTAAAACACCTTTTTAAAAAATTAGCACTAGAAAAGTAAAATGAATTATTGTTGCCTTTAAGAAGATTTAAGGTTGAATCTGCATGCAAATCTACACCATAGCAGTAGACTGGATCAGTGACTACAGGAGCATGAGGGCTCTGTCCTGCAGTAATGGTAAGCACATTCATCGATTTAGCCAACTGTGTGTGAAGGTGCTCACCACCCGTCCCAGTGACGTGAGTTGGGGCCATAGGATCCACACAGTGGAAGGAGAGAACTGACTCGTGTGTTGTCCTCTGACCTCTGCACATGCTCCATAGCACATAGACACACAAATGTACAAACATAAACTAAAATATTTAAGACATTCATCAACCTGTGCTTGTAATAGGTAAATTTATTGTTTATGAGCTGCGCCTCAGTAAAGGTGATTTTTAGATTGTGTTGCTCCAGTATCTAAACACAGTATTTTGACATTTCGTAGACATCTGCAGAGGTTTCCCTACTTTCACTTCATTAGAAAGATGCATTAGTTTCATTGAAAGTCAAGATTTTACTCAAGATCTTACCATTGAACTGAGTGTTTTGTAGAAGTTTTGTAGAAGCTGTGACCACCTTTTAACAGAATTCTGACTTTTTATAAAAAGATTTATTTAGTATGTATACAGTACAGTGTTCTGTCTGCGTGTATGCCTGCACACTAGAAGAGGGCACCAGATGTCATTATAGATGTTCGTGAGCCACCTCGTGGTTTCTGGGAATTACACTCTGGAAGAGCAGTCAGTGCTCTTAACCTCTGAGCCATCTCTCCAGCCTGAATTCTGACTCTTACAGTGAACATTTTTTAAAAAAATTTCATACCTGTGTATGTGCATATAGGAGGTGAGTTTGTGGCTGGAGACCTAAAGAGGGTGTTAGATGTTTTGGAGCTGGGGTTACATGTGGTTCTGAGCCCCTTATACGGTGATGAGATGCAAACTCTGGTCCTCTGGAAGAGTAGCATGCCGTCGTACTCCCTGAGCTATGTCTCTAGTCTCTTAGAGCACAGATTTTGAGGATGTATGAGAAGAACTTGTGATGGAACTTTGCATTTAATTATCTTTCTGATTTCTACCAACTTTTATTTTGTTATTTTAATGTCTTTCATTAACTTCTCTTGAACTGGTTTTTAAAATATACTTTCTCATAAATTTTTATGTACAATATCAAGATGTTAAGACAAATCTCCTCTCATTGGACTTCCCAGAAGCTTATTTTATTAGATTCTAATATTAGTTCTCTTTTTTTTTTTTTGCTGGCAGGGCGTGGTTGAAGCAGGGTTTTTCTGTGTAGCCCTGGCTATCTGAAAACTTACTTTGTAGACCAGACTGGCCTCAAACTCACAGAGAACCTCCTGCCTCAGCCTTGAGAGTGCTGGGATGAATATTTTTGAAAGGTAACCCTTCAACTTTTCTCTCTAGACTTAAGTACTGTTAACCTCTACATGTGAGATCATTGATTTTTCTCTTTTCTTCCACCAGATTTCTTTAGTAACTGGCCAGTCACGCACGCCTTTAATTCCAGCACTCAGGAGGCAGAGGCAGGCGGTTCTCTGTGAGTTTGAGGCCAGCCTGGTCTACAGAGCAGGTTCCAGGACAGGCTCCAAAACTACACAGAGAAACCCTGTCTCAAAAAACAAACAAACTACTACTACTACTAATAATAATAATTTCTATAGTATTGCACTCTTCATTTGCATTCATCTCTTAACCGTGTCTAGCAGCTTTCTTTACTAGGGGTTCTTCTGTCTTGAGTCCTTAGATTTTTACCTTTATCATTGTTCATTTCTGTAAAAATGGACAAGTCTGTTCAGCATTTATCTTTTCTTTCTTTCTTTTTTTTTTTTTTTTTTTTTTTTTTTTTTTTTTTTTTTTTGGTTTTTTGAGACAGGGTTTCTCTGTAGCTTTGGTGCCTGTCCTGGAACTAGCTCTTGTAGACCAGGCTGGCCTCGAACTCCCAGAGATCCGCCTGCCTCTGCCTCCCGAGTGCTGGGATTAAAGGCGTGCGCCACCACCGCCCGGCTCAGCATTTATCTTTTCATTGACATCTTTTCTTGTTTTCTTGCCTTACTGTTGAACAGCAGCCCGCTAACCAGTTTTTCTGCTTTTGTCTCTCATTTCTGCTTATGTGTGTAGGATTGACTTAATGATATTAAAATGCTCCGTTCACTGGAAAGTTTAGAAATGGTGCCTGCCTTTTTCAGTGTCTAATGCTCTGCTTATCTTCCGTGCTGTGTTGTGATCTACTTCCTTCCTCTCCCCAGTGCAGCATGCACACAAACACACGCATACTTTATTTTAGTCACCTTGACTCTTCTGGGTTTTTTTTAACCTTATTATCAAAACTAGGTTAAATAATCTTTCTCCAAGACTTTTAAAATAGATTTTTACCTGTGACCATTTTCTTTCTAGTTTGTGAATCTCCTTACTTCAGGGTGTAACTACGTCACTCCTTTGTTCATTCACCATAAGACTGGAATGCTGCTTTACTTTGTGGTTTTTTTTTTCAACTTGTTTGAAAAGTACTAAGAGTAGATATATTTTTCCTGTTCTGTATGCATATAAAATATATTTAAGTCATGTATTCAGCTTCGTATCTACTTGAATAGAAGAATAGATTTGGAGTATATCAAAAGTCACAGTTTGTTAAATAAGATTTTTAACTGTGACAATCAAATTCTTCTTGACTTCTAAACCGCATATCAAGCTTCATAGAACTGAATTGTAAAATGTAGGATGTAAACAGTTCAAAGCTTCATAATTTAGATTTTTCCATATTTCTATGAATTTACTGACATCTTAATGTTTTTATTTGCCACATTGTTATTCTTTACTGTTAGTAGCAAGACTTCTAGAATACTGATTGCTTATGTAGGAAAATATTTTACTTTTGGCTGTGTTTTTATTAATATGTTAAAACTAGTTAATTACTATTTTTAAAGCTAAGCATAGAAATTGACTTTCTCTTTTAAGGATGGCTCAGGCCTCTCAGGCCCTACGAGATAAACATGGCACGTAAGAATTCTTTGTTTAATCCCCAGACTCCCTCTTTTGGCAGTGGAGGGGCTGTCTCTCCATCACCTTGTTCTTCTCGAGGGCAGTATGAACATTACCATGCCATTTTTGATCAAATGCAGCGACTGAGAGCGGAAGATAATGAAGCGCGATGGAAAGGAGACATATACGGGCGCCGGCTTCCAGAAAGGTACGGCTCTGCTGAAAGGTGCTCTCATGAAGCTGCGGTGCTGTGCTTCAGAGCAAGTAGTGAAAGTTGTTGTGAGTATTTATCGCCAGAGGAGTTCCACTTGAACTTCATCCAGGGTTTCCCAATGGGGCTGCAGGTCATCACCATTTCCCCGATGCTGATGTCATAGAGAAGCTTTGAAAAAATTGAAGGCCATGCCTAAACAAGCCAGTGCAAACAGATCGGATTGTGATGATCCATGCATTCATCCTGTGTGTAATTCTGTCTTTTATCATATCTACACTTGGTGTTTTCTCCAGTGTTTACACAGAACATTTTTTATTCCCTAGATATTATAAATCTTCAGGTGCAAATTTGACCCTTGATTACATTATGACAAATGTGTTCACGTTGGCCTGATTATTGTGGCTTATTTTAATGTTTAGATAGGACATACTGTTCAAAGGAGCATGTGATAACTTTCTGCCAGCATATGGTTATAATAATTTCATCCACTTGCTTTGAATAAATTACAGCATAAATTTAAATAGAATTACACTTTTCATAAAACTCCAAAGCATAGCCGGGCGGTGGTGGCGCATGCCTTTAAATCCCAGCACTCGGGAGGCAGAGGCAGGCGGATCTCTGTGAGTTCGAGGTCAGCCTGGTTGATGTCAGCTAGTTCCAGGACAGGAACCAAAAAGCTACGAAGAAACCCTGTCTCGAAAATCCAAAAAAAAAAAAAAAAAATTCCAAAGCATATCTATTTTTTGTCTTTTCCTCATTCCTACCTTCTCTTTATTGTCTTAAGACATTTCCTCTTCACATTCATCTCCATTTATATCTCTTCATGATCCTTTTCATCAGATTTTTTCCATTGAATTAACTTGATGATAATTGGGAATGTCTATACTTTGTGTAATTTTTTTTCTTCAAGTATGCATATGTGTTTGCTTAGAAATTCCCATTCTATAAAACTTTCTGATGAGTTACAGAAGAGCAGGTCACATGATGAATTTTTAGTTATCCTTTTGAGCATGGCGGTGGTGGCGCACGCCTTTAATCCCAGCACTCGGGAGGCAGAGGCAGGCAGATCTCGATGAGTTTGAGGCCAACTTGGTCTACAAGAGCTAGTTCCAGGACAGGCTCCAAAGCCACAGAGAAACCCTGTCCTTTTCTTGTGATTTTAAAGTGTTAAAGACAAAGTCTTTGATTTGTTTCTTGGTTATAACCTCATATTTAAGGTGGATTTTTTACAGTAAGTAATTGGGCTTTCTTTTGACACCTCCACTCCTGACGACAGTCTCTGTCACTGGTATTTAAAGGGATTGTTGATGTATTCTGTTTAGTGTGTGTCACTGGTATTTAAAGGGATTGTTGATGTATTCTGTTTAGTGTGTGTCACTGATATTTAAAGGGATTGTTGATGTATGCTGGTTAGTGTGTGTCACTGGCATTTAAAGGGATTTTTGATGTATTCTGGTTAGTGTGTGTCACTGGTATCTAAGGGGATTGCTGATGTATTCTGGTTAGTGTGTGTCACTGGTATTTAAGGGGATTGTTGATGTATTCTGGTTAGTGTGTGTCACTGGTATTTAAAGGGATTGTTGATGTATTCTGGTTAGTGTGTGTCACTGGTATCTAAGGGGATTGTTGATGTATTCTGGTTAGTGTGTGTCACTGATATTTAAGGGGATTGCTGATGTATGCTGGTTAGTGTGTGTCACATCATGTTTTTTCATTCGTGCCATGTTCCTTTCTTCCTTATTTTTGAGTTCTATACTTTGTCTGATTTTTTATGGTTTAAACTGAGCATATTTTTGTGATTCCATTCCATTCTTAGTATTTCAATTACAGGCTTCCTTTGTAAACTTTTCCTTAGAGGTTGTCTTAGATTTTGCAATACACAAGTAAGACAAACCCAAGTTCTCTTTTACATTAGGTTTATACATTATAACCTCAGAATGCTTCTAATTCCTCCCTGCTGTCTGTTATATTATTACTGTCATTTATGCCACTTACATCTCAGTGTGCATGGATATGCATAGACATGTAATAAGCTACCGCTTCATTGCTGTTACTATAGACAAGCTGGTATCTGGTAGGAAGAAGTACAACAACTTCTCATCTTCACTTCTTCCTTCCTGCATGCTGCTTCTTTACTTCTCTCAGAAGAACTTGGTTTAACATTTCTTGTAAAGCAGCTGTAATGACAACAGCTTTCTTCAGGTTTTGTCCGAGAAAGTCTTTAGCTCACTTCTTGTTACAATAATATTTAGAGTTTAGATGTTAAGTGGGTATTTTTTTTCTTTCCGCAGTTGAATATTTTCCTCACTTTATTCTTTGCCTTCTTTGGGGGAATAGTTGAATGTAATTCTTAGATGCTCTTCTGTATGTTTGTGTTTTCCTCTTTTAAGACTTTATCTTTGATTTCCCAAAGCTTGGCTATGGCAGGATTTTCCTGATTGTTTATGTGGGAATTTGCTGCAGCTTGTTCTCAGTTCCCCGGATCTTTGGTGTGATGTTTGACATGAATCCAGGGTCTTCAGAGGCGTTATTGTTTTAAGCAATGTCTGTCTAATGTTCCACAGCATGCATGTTGCACCTTTTGTAATTTTCCACTGTTCTTGTGTTCTCTCTGTGTTTGTATCCCTTTTCTTTTCTCAGTTTATAAATGCTTTTTTACTATACCCTCAAGATTAGAGAGACTCTTTGTTTAGCCTTGTCCAATCCAGTAATGAGCCCAGCGAGGCAGTCTGCATTTCCACTAGAGTGTATTTGGGTTTGGCCCTTCTATTTGCATTTTTTTCTTGAAATTTTATGCTTCTGTTTACATTGTCATCTGTTGTTGCATGTTATGTACTTTTTCTATTAAAATATGCTTTTAGGAGAAGACAAGCTTTTCTTATGTTTGTTAACTGTTTCTGTCTTCTTTTGCCTAGAATACCTTGCTTCTGTTAACTTTGAATACTTAGAACCTAGTTATTATTATGGCCTTTGTGTAGGTTAGGTAACTAGTTCTGTAAACTAGGAAATAAAAATTAAACGTGAAATTTAATTGAGGATAATTTTGGCATAGAAGCTGACTTTAAAAAATATATTAGCCTATATATTTTGAATATTAAACTGTGGAAAAAGTTGGACCTTATCATCTTAGAGCAGTGGTTCTCAACCTTCCTAATGCTGTGACCCTTTATTTAATACAGTTTCTCATGTTGTGGTGATCCCCAATCTTATAAAACTATTTTCATTGCTACTTCATAATTGTAATATTGCTACTGTTATGAATCATAAAGTAAACATCTGATATGCAGGATATCTGATGTGTACCCCCTGTTAAAGGACCTGTCAACCCCCCCACTATCATAGGGGTCTCAACTCAGAGGTTGAGAACCACTGCATTAGACTATAGATTATACTTTTGAGGGCTAGAGAGCTAGCTCTCAGCCGATAAATACATTTTAGGTAAACTTCATTCATATGTTTGTTATAGTGATATCTGCTCCTGAGTTAAATTATAAAGAATTAACTTTATATAGTAAATTTTCTTTAAACAGGAACACAGAAAACAAGGTTATAAATTATTCTGCTGACAAATGTGACAGACTTGCAGGAATTTAATTGTATTTTCCTTAGCATCAGTGGCTCAGTATTCATTAATTCAGTTTTAGTAGTGACCTTGTAGAACATAAACTATCAATCATGATGATTGACCATATTAGTAATTTAGTTATTACCAACACTGTGAAACAGATAGTAGTATTCTTGCTACTTTACAGATTAAAAAATTGAGGCAATATATAATTCAGTTTTTGAAAGTCCCATAACTTATCTATTAGTAAAAACAAAGGAGTTGAAACTGAATTCTTCATGTTTGCTTGCACTTTATGGTGTTATTTTTCTCTGCCTTCCTAGTATGACTAGGCTAGTATGACTGTTCTTACATCTATGTCTTAATGACATACCTATTAGCCTCTTGACTATTGGGACCTCAAGTAGAGTACAACTGCCTTTTAAGAAGTGATTTGGTGCCTCTTTACATTTGTGTTTTTAAACTGCTTTACTTTTCTACCCCCTCTCCTGATTCCAGTCCACTAGGTACCTTTAAGTAGAAAGGAAGCTTAGTGAATACTCTTGTTTTCTGTTCCCTGTTATCTTTCTGTCACTGGACTATTGTGTCTGAAAGCAGTGAATCATTTGTTACCTAGACTATTGCCTACTTTATGCTTTTTCACCTCTTGAAGTATTTGTAATCCTTCAAAAATTTTAAATTCCTCTTGTAGTAATAAATTTGAGTCATGATTATAATGTATGGTGTTCCCACCACTATCTTGCTGCTGCTACTTCTTGTATTTATAAGAAGAAAAGGAAAGAAAATTACCCACCCCCTTTCTTTTTTGCTACAGGAAATGAAAGGCTTGTCTTAGAATAACTTTCCCAATGAAGAACACCACAGTTTTTCTCTTTCAACACCATAGCTGTGTTGATGTCCTTATCCCTTTCTGCCACAATTCTTAGCTCATTTTAACATCTTTGTATGTTGTTATCTAGTCTCTAGTTTCCTCCTATATATCTCTCAGTCGTTACATACAGTTCTACTGTTGGTAATATAGGACAATTCCTGATACTAAGTGCTATACAATATCTTTGCATCTGAATTCCTTTCTTTCTATTTTTTTTTGGTGTTTGTTTAGTTTTTGTTTTGATACAGGGTGTCTTTGTCACTGTTCTATTGCTATGAAGAGACACTATGACCACACCAGCTCTTATAAAGGAAAACATTTTATTGGGGCTGGTTTACAGTTTCAGAGGTTTAGTCCATTATCATCATGATGGGAAGCATGGTGGCGTGCAGGCAGACATGGTGCTAGAGAAGGAAGCTGAGCGGTCTACATATGGATCCACAGGCAGCAGGAAGAGAGGGAGACACTGTCCTGACTTGGACTTCTGAAACCCCACAGCCCACCCAAGTGACACACTTCCTCCAACAAGGCCCCGGTCTTAATCCTGTCAAATAGTCCTACTCACTCTCTTTGAAACTGTGGGGGCCGTTTTCATTCACATCACCACGCAGGGCCTCTGCATAGTCCTGACTGTCTGGGAACTCAACAGAGATCGGCCTGCCTCTGCTTCCTGAGTGCTGGTTTTAAAGGCATGTGCCACTGCGCCTGGCCACTTCATCTGAATTCTTACTAGAGTTTAGTGAAGAGAATGAATAAGTAAATTCTTTTCTCCTTATCCCCATGAGCCTTCTGCAATAGATAGTTTGTGCCCACAGTTTAACACTTTTACTTCTTTAAAGAATAAAGATTCTGAGCGTTAATACATAAGAATGTGTGTTATAGATTATTTAGATTATTAATTAACATAGATTATTATTAACATAAGTTACAGAATTACTCAAACTGTGATTTTCATCAGGAAACTTTGTTTTCTGGAACTCTGTTTTAGACATTGTGGTAGTCAGGGCGACTGTCACCGTAATAAACACTATGACCAAAGCAGCTTGGGGAGGAGAGCGCTTGTTCATCTTAACACTTCCACATCACTGCTCTTCATCAAAGGAAGTCAGGAGAGGAGCTCAATCAGGGCAGGAACCTGGGGCAGGAGCTGGTGCAGAGGCCATAGAGGGGTGCTGCTTACCAGCTTGCTCAACCTGCTTTTTTATAGAACCCAGGACTGCCTGCCCAGGGATGGCACCACTCACAAGGGGTTGGGCCCTCCCCCGTCAATCACTAATTAGGAAAATGCCTTGCAGCCTGATCCTATAGAGGCATTTTCTCAACTGAAGCTCCCTCTGTGATGGTTCTAGCCTGTGTCAAGTTGCTATAGAAGCAGCCAGTACGGTCATCGTTACATCTTCAGAGGTTGATATGACAAATAGTTGACACTTAGCAATTCTTTGTTTAATAAATCAGAAGAGAAGAGAAATTATGTTTAAATAATCATTAAAGATTTTAAGTGTGTGTTTGAAAATAGACAGTCATATAAACCAGCTTATTTAAACCAACTGAGGAAATAGCAGTTGAGTGAAGCTACACTTTTAAATATAAAGTGTCATGTATACATAAGCAGTGTGCAAATCTATAAATCAAGGCTGCTGTCCATATGATCATGTTCTGACGTACTGTGCAGTAATTCTAGTAGGGTATGCTAGTTGGCGTGTTATACTGTCAAACGCTACACAGACCATGTCTTGGAATGACAAACACGCTTTACTTCTGTGAATGTTGAAGTCAAGGCCATCGTGATGCAAAGCAGAGAGATTGGAGGCTTTATCTAATTGCAGGTGGTGGACTATGCTTCCAAGACCCACAGATGATGTGTCCCCGCATGATACTCCATCTACCCTCTTTGAGCTCAGCCTTGTGTAAACAGGGAAGTAGCAGAGCAGGATGCCAGCTTACCTGGATACATGCAGAGACATGCTGAATTCAGACCAGATGCCCCTAATTGATCTCAGTTTTATAGTGCATTATATATGTCTGAGAGAGGATAGCATATGTGTCCTTCAGAGGCATGAACTAATCTCTTGTTATTACAAACCTACTCAAGCTCACATAGCTTTGGATTTCAGAAATGTCATGTGGAACTACAGTAACCATCTGGAAGGAATAGCTGAACATCATAGTAACTGGCTCTTAAAGCAGTTATAGATGTTACCTAACCTACAAAATTCCTGTGATGGAAGTTTAGAGAATTTCTTTTAAATAATAGGTAAAGGACTTTAGACTGCCATCACTCATGGGGATGTAATACAGTACATTTTAGAGGTTTTTTTTCAAAGATTTATTTTTAAATGTAGGTGCCTGTGGAAGCCATAAGTATTAGACCCCCTGGAGATGGAATTACTGGTGATTATAAGCCATCTCACATAGAGGCTGGGAATGGAATTTAGGTTTTCTGTAAAAGTAGCAGCCACAGATTTTAAGTTTTTACAGCTAAATTTCTTATTTAAAATATTTTTATGTGGTATTTTGTAAAAAGTTGTTGATTTAAAAAAAAAGTTGAAGAAATGATTATTTGTAGAATGAAAATTAGACGTTTTAAAATGTTACTGGGAACACTAGCAGACAGGACATTATTTCCGGACTTTATTTTTTCAGAGCATAACATTTTCCCTAACAAAAAAGCTACAGGAAGGTTTTTATGCCGTATTAGCCACAGTCTAAGTAGAACCTAGACAATAGCTCGTTTGTCTTTCTAACTCTTCTCCACATTTAACCACCCTTGATGTCGCTATGAATTTCGCAATTACTGGCACTGGATTGTGTGCTTGCGTGTTTGTTTCTACCTGCCATGTTTATCACGATAACTGAACAGCACATAGTAGGTATTCAGTAAATATTTATCACTTTTTAATTTGCAGTCTTTACACAATGTGTTTACATTTTTCTTAATTGTCAGCAAAAGATGCCAAATATTAAAATGTGAAAAAATTAAAGCCAGTAACTGCTGTTACTTTTTAAAAGTAGTAAATGATGCAATTAAGACAATAGACCAACACACACACATACACACTTTTCTTTACAAAGAAAGTGTTTGTTTCTGCTTTCATGTTCTACAAGGAAAAAAGCAAATAATAAGTATAATTTTAATTTGGAAATGAACGCTCAAAATGGTTGACTCTGTGCTTTGTCCAAAACAGGCATAAAGGGCAGCTAGGCTTAGAAAGAGCTAAGCGAGTGGAAGAGTTCCTGCAGCGTAAACGAGAAGCCATGCAGAACAAAGCCCGGGCCGAAAGACATGTGGTATGGTAGCTTTTCTTCAGATGTTGAACATATCAGTGTTGTAAGTAAAAAGAATTATGATGTAGCAGTCTATGTCTAATAAAAGATATTGAAGGTGTTCAAAAGTAATGTACAGATTATATTTTCATGTGTTTTGCTTACTAACCTGTTTTGTTATGGGTTAATTGGTATCTTCCATGCCAAAGGTGAAATTACATTATTATTCTACGTTTTGTTCTTTAAAAAGGGTAGAAATGTGTATAATAATCCAGATATTTATTAGTAGAGAAATAAGTTCCTAAGTTGCTAGATTTTTTTTCCCCTTCAAATGCTTTTTGTAAAATACTTTTAAGTAGCAAAGAATTTTAGAAGAAAAAGGGGGGATAAATGTTTGAGTGCAGATATATGAAACTGTATTTGTTGAAAAGCATATCAGAAATAAAACTACTTTAAAATATCCAGTTAAGCCCATTACAAAATTAAGTCATTTATTTGAGAACATATTAAGTCTGAGGGAATCATCTAAGCAGTTAAAATTCTCAGTAGTTATAGTTGCAGTGTGCCGCAAATGTCTTTTGATCTTTTGTTCATAAAGCAACTGAGAATTGCTTCTGTCACTTCATCTCCCTGTGGAGCCTCCTGTTCATGTAGAATATGCTCAAGATATTTTTGTTGGACTTACCACACATGTATTAAAGACTCCTAATTGGTAACTTTGTAAGTTTATTAAGTTATTCAATATAAGATTTTTTTTCTCTTTGAGATTATATTATAGAAAAATAGTATTGATTGGCTATTGAAGGAGCTGCGGGCTGCGTTCCCGCCACCCAGCTCCCGGCTGCCTGGCTAGCTTATGCCCCCAAATAATGACACACAAACTGTATTCATATAAACACTGCTTGGCCCATTTCTATTAATGTGTGTAGCACCATGAAGTGCTGACTTATCTTGCCTAACCCATATTTAGTAATCTGTGTAGCACCAGTCTTACTGGGAAAGATTCAGCATGTCTCACCTGGCAGCTTGCTCCATCGCGTCTGCCCTGGAGAAGAGCGGCATCATGTCTGTCTCACTTCCTCCCAGCATTCTGTTCTGCCTACTCCACCCACCTAAGGGATGGCCTATCAAATGGGCCAAGGCAGTTTGTTGATTAACCAATGACCTTCCTCTATCAATTGGCCACTCTTTATATGTTTTTAACATATATTCTCCAATTTACTTTCCTAATATCTGGAATGAATTTGTATTTGTGACCCTTCTCTAGATGGGACAAGATGATTTCTTGTCTTCTCCCTGTTAATAGCATTTGAAATAATTTTGATCGCTTATATTTTTTAAAGAGCTTTTAAACTGCTCTGTAGCAGGATCCTCATGCCTGAGTGTTGGGATTATAGGCATGCACCACCTTTCCCAACTCTTGTTGTAGGTTATTATTTACAACAGTTACGGGGAACTGGAGATGGCTTAGCAGTTTAGAGTGCTTGCTGCTCTTGCAGAGGCTCTGAGTTAGGTTCTCAGCACCCACATCAAGGGGCTTACAACCACCTGTAACTACACCTCCGGGGGATCTGACACCTTCTCTGGCTGGCTTCGTCAGTACCTGCACTCACTTGTAAATACCCACAGATAGACAGACAGATACACATACTCATAATTTAAAATAAAAGTTAACGAATCTTTTAAAAAGTAATAGTTACTAGAACTATCAAGATTTAATGACTTTTCCTCTTACTGTTTGACCTTAATCCTGTAATTCTATCTTCAGTTTATTTTGCTTAATGTTAGAGATTTTCCTCTTGTATTTTGTTTAAAAAGGTACTTTGCAGAATTTGTAGAGAAAAATGTCTTTACTTTTTTCCTTATACTTTAATAATACTTTGTGGTGAATTTAACCTGCATTTGTAGGTCTGAAAAGAAACATTTTGCCTACCTTTTTTGTCTTTTTGTGCACATGTATGTGTTATGCATGCATTACCATAGGTATGGGAACACATGTGCATCTGGCTGTGTTATCAGGAATCTTCTGTGGTAACTCTTCTGCCTCAGTTTTTGAAGGAGGATTTTAATCAAGCCCAGAGTTTACCAATATGTCTGATCTTGGCAGCCAGCCAGCCTGCTTCAGGGATTCTCCAGTTTGACAGTTGAGCCTGGAGTTTGCCTTTGCTGGGGGTATTCTATAGGTTGGGGACTGTTTATCTTCTGACAAGAAGCTACCCCTCCTTATCTTTTCCTGTGTATATTATATGCCCTTTCCTCTCTGACTCAGGAAAGTTTTTTCTTTGTTCCTGGAACTACTTGATTATTAGATAGCTCCCGAGTTTTCTTCCTGGTCATTAGTTTCATGGGTTCAGATTTTTCAGCCACTGTTTTCTTCAAAAAAATTTCTCATTTTCTTCTTTTCTAACCTTTGTATACATACCAGAATGCTGTGACTCTCCACGACTCGTTGATGCTCTTCTTTTTCTCTAAGCTTCGTTCTGGGTGGTTTCCGTTGTCATGTCCTTAAGGACGTTATCTTCTGCTGTGTGTTATACTGCTGCGTTCATCCAGACCTGCTGCTTCTCATCTCCTGTTGTTTTGTTGTTGCAGTACTGGAGATAAGCCCAGGGCTCTTACGGATAGGCTATTGCTGTCCTACTGAACTCTACCTCAGCTCACATCTGATAATATTGATTGTGCTAACATGGCCCTCTGCTCTGGCAGAGCCTGTGGGTACCTCTGCTGGGTACAGTGCTGTACTGCTTCCGAGGACTTTCCATCTCACAGTCTGATTAAACCGCTGGCTTTATTAGCTGTTGGTCACTCAGGGAGAGACTGTGAAGACCCTCTCCATCTTCTCAGCCTCCCTCTGTGCAGCTTTCTGCTCTCTGACCTCAAATCCCATTAGCCTAGCTTGCCCATCTCCAGACAAGGTCTTCTCAACTAGGAGGGACCTCCACCTGTGGTCAGATTTCCTCTCTTGTGCTGCTGCCTAGAAGCTCTGACCAGGCAAGTGGGGCAGTCATGGGGCTCGGACTTATCTCCCTTGCTTTCCATCTCAGAAGGATCTACCCCATGCTGCCTGTTATCCAATATTGGAAACCATGTTTTCTTTTATCTTAACAAAACTTTAAAAATTTTTTTAGTGTATATCTAACCCATTGTTCTGTTATGGCTAAAAGCAATTCTTTGACTTAAAAAAGTTTTATATCTCATAATTTCATATATATATATATATACAATAAAATATAATATATCATAAGTGATATAGCAAAATATGATAAAATATGGTTGTATCTATTCACCATTACCATATATCTCCCTAACATCCTCTCAACTTTGTCTTTTTTTTTTTAAAAAAAAATAATAACCCACTAAATCCAGCTAGTGTGTCCATATGCGAGTGAGTGTGGGGCCCTCTAGTGGAACATGGGAAACCTATCAGCAGCCATATGTCCTCAGCAAAGAGTGATTCTACACTCCCAGTAGATCCTCACTGTGGGTAGGCCTGGACATAAGTACTTCATGCATTGCTTCGTTGGCAAAGGAAAACTCAAGACAGTGGAACATACAGTTCTGTGGCAAGCTTCCTGTTCACTTCTCTAGGCTTACTGTAATAGAAAAGAGAGATGTCAAAATAGTTTGTTGAGGAAAGGAGGTTAATTGGGTTAAAGTTGTACAGCAAGGGCTGTCATTGCTGCGAAGGTTAAAGAGCAACCTCTGAAGTCCTTATTAAAACAACAAGAGAGATGTCTTTAGAGCAAGACCCTACTAATCAACAGGACCAGGGTATAATAATGTGAACCAATTTCAAAAACTTTCCTTTGAAAAGATAGTCCCTTAACAGGGAAATGTTCCAGATATTTCTAATTAATGTTTTCACACTTTGAGTTACACAGGCACTCTGAGGGTGCTTCAGCTACGGGCCATTGAGGTCAGACCACATCTCAGGCTGGCAACAAAACCTGTAATTGCCTAATCGATTCCAGGTTTTACAGGCATGCACGATACAAAGCTGAGTACAGCAGACACACAGCCTTGCACAAAGGTTCCAGAAAGCCACTGAGGCTAGGCAGTGTGCAAAAGGGTCAGGTTCGCTGCAGTAAGCTCTTCAGTGGTTTGTAAAGCCCCAAGTTACAGAGGAGACCAGATGATGTGGGAGATGCCATAAACCTGATATGTTTATCATGTCGAACTTGTGTTACTGAAGGAATCGATTCAAGAATGAAGCCCTACATGCTGTTGCAGAAGTATCTTTACTTGGGGGAAGCTACCCTGTTAAAGTCTGATGATCAGAAGCTGTAGGGACAGAACATGGAGCTGTGTTTCAGTCTTACTTTAGTTGGATCTTTCCTTGCTATCACTTTATCTCATGTAGCGTTAACCTTGACACAGCCTAAAATTACATGAAAAAGTTTAAATCGAATAATTGTCTTTATCGGGCTGCTCCAAAGGCATGCCTCTGAGGTGACTGCCCTGATTATTAACTGATTTAGGAGGACCCAGTTAGTTGTGGGTGATACCTTTCTAGGCAAGAAGTAATGGGTTGGCAATGGGTTATCTAAGAAAGTTAGCTAGGTTTGAGGCTGGAACCAGCCAGTGGGTGAGCCGGCAAGCAGCATTCCTCCGTGTTTTTTGCTTCAAATCCTTGGATGAGTTCTTAAGCACGACGTCCTTCAGTGATGCACTGGCACATGGAATCCAGATAGACCCTTCCCTCCACTAAGCTGCTTTTCATCAGAGTGTCCCACACTACAACAGAAAGGAAAGTCAGCTCCCTTGCTGTCTGCTGGAATGTGCATTGCACACTGGACTTATGTAAGTTTGCTTTGAGTCTCAGGTCAGACTTTTGAAAAGCATCAGAACTGAAGACCACTGCCTGTACTCTCTTGAGTTCCTCCCAGCCTCCTGCTTTCATACTCCTGCCAGAAATGTTCAGAAATCTCTACTCACAGCTTTCTGAGGCTTCTTTAGCCACAGCTACAAACCCTTTCACATTCTTTCCACAAACCAGTTATGAAAGCCTACAAACTGCATGGCCA